GGACTAATCAATTCACGCTCTGGTGACACTGACAGTGACAGTGCAACTGCCAACTGCCAACTCGTCTTAGACAAACATATTCATAACCTCATAATCAGTTTTGTCCCTCGTCAGAAGCAATGAGGGCTATACTCTACTAGAGCTTAAGCTTATAAACATTAATAATCCAGAGAGACATGATACAAGATTGGGTGGCACAGCTTTGCTGTTGATCCCACACTGGCCACAGCCACAGGCACAGGCACTTGAAGCGTTTCAATATGCTAACTAAATACGAAATCTATTTACTACCAAATTCTTAATGTTTCTATACTCTCTTTCACCTATTATTGCCGACAGTTTCCTGTAAATTCCGTCCAAATCCTACGTCCAACCATATATGCTGCCGGCGCCATTGCTTTCGTGGCGCGACTGTTGCACGCTTACACTTATAGTTATATATATAGTGTGTACTACTATACCACTAGCCCTAACCTAACTTTCACTAGCCCAGACCCAGACCATTGTTATGAAAAACTTTATTTAGATAAGAGTGTGTCATCGTATGAATTCATAGATGCTGTTTCCCGCGCTTTAAATCGCGCGTGGGCCGAGTTCACGTGCAGCATTCGTATTCTACTACGGGCATACACGAGCGCACGGTTTATTGATCGTCTACTGCGGCTGGCAGCAAGCCACATTATTTTTTTGCCGAAGGGTAGACTGGTATCCGGCCTCACGCTCTGCTGGACAATGTACACACTCTGCGACAAACAGTGCGGCCGCGAGCCAGTCTAGCCAGAGGTGACCTTTCAGTGCAATATATATGACCAATTTTAACACGACCAGTCGGGCTACTAGCACTCTGGTTGTATGCGACCGGACCAAGCATTTATTGGGTTAGTGTCGAACCCTGCTTAAAAACACATGTAATTTAACGTCTTGCAGTGGATCGTATACTATACGGCAGAGTATCCACTTCCGATATCTTACCGTACAGTACTTCTGAATTACTTCTACCTACTTTAGAGCTCTCAACTTCCCAAATTTCAGATGCGTGAGATTTTTCTTGTGAGCGAAGCTTGAAGTTGATGCCACTGGCACTGAGAGTGAGACTGAGTGAAGCTTGGTCACATTTGCCTGGTGTATCATAGTTGAGCTCTAAGAAACGGTCGTACATCTAAAGACTGTTATTATAATAGTATTAGTAGTGTATTGACATTAATCTCGCAGCCTGGTCGGGGTGAATGTGTTACTGCATGCTAGCAATACTACAGCAGTGTACAGTAGTCCAAAAATACGAATACCAGAAATCCGGACCACGTGAGAATCCGGACTTTTCAAAACGGATTTTTGAACATTATTTTAAGCATAGGCATGCTCTTTAGTGAAAAAAATTTCATGTTTACACATTTGTCAAGTGTCGACTTTCTTTTTCTTTAAAACTGCTTGTTTTGATAAGTGCAGCATGCTGTATTTGCTAATTAATAAACTATCAAAATTGTCCTGTTCATCTCTTCTTTATTCCTCCTTAAATTTGAATATTAAAGGTACTGCCCGAGAATCCAAAAAATCCTAAAATCCGGATCGACCCAATTCCCGAGCAATCCGGATTTTCGGACTTCTATTGTATATAGATCCTGATATAGATATATGTCACAGACTCACACCATTGAAGTCAATCTAACCTGTGAACATAATTTTCCAGATTTTTTTTTTCCATATTTGCATTTCTAAAATGCATTCAAGAAATCTGTGCCATAGTGTGAGAGCATAAGATAGCATCTAATGCATCGTTCTCAGGATCAGTGTGTGAGACTTGACAGGTCTGGTAGACTGGTACTAATGTTATACTCTATAAAATAGCCTTAGTCTGGGGGTTGTTGGCGCCATTTTTTGATTTTCACATCTAAAATGAGAAAGAGGTGGCAGTGCATGGCATGGTGGGAAACTATAATAGCAGTAGCAATACCCATAGCAGTAAAAAAATAAATCAAGTCATAATATTTTGTTCCAGGTTTACAACATTTACGCAGATACCTTCTCACAGAAGCATATGTGTGCAGTGATGCTTGGAGAAAAAGACTAAATTCTCCAATATTCAAGGAAATTAAAATGGGTAAGACCCTTCATGTATCAGTGTCGTAGCAATTAGAGTAAAAATTTTAATAGGTCAGCAATAATCGAGTAAGGAAAAAAGCAAGAAATCTATTCTTCAATGCACTTGAATTGCATTGTTCTTGCAATTGTGCAATTGAACATCCCTCGGTACTTTATATTGTAGCAAAATGCTTTTCCATGTAGCATTGCATTGTGTGACCACATGTAAATATATAATTATAACCTTTATATCATGTATATTGGGTATGTACATATTAAATTAGCTATTGCATTAGATCGCCATTATTTGTTCTCTGAATATGCTATTGTTTATTAAGCTATTGAAAAATGAATTTCAATGTGCCTGGAAATAATACAACAGTGCCATATTAATCTAACAATTGTTAAGTGCCTATGTAGAATGTAATTATTTAATTATAAGCTTATAAATTACCGTTTCATTGTTCGCATAAGATGATGTATGTCATCTTTTTCAGATGCCTTTGGGGTTGACATAATTAAAAACTGCAGAACAGGTCGTGCTACTGCTGTAGATGTGGACATTGTAAGTATACTGTGAAGTAGCATGATTTAAAAATGCAACCAAATGCAATTTAAACAATGCATATATTCTGGCAAATATTTTACATGTTTGGTATAAGTCGTTGTGGTTAATAATTGTGATAACAAGCAGGGTGTCAATTAAATATTGCAGTTTGCTAACAATATCACTGATCCTGTACAACTATATGACTTGGAAAACATTTTGAGCAAGTAAGTACATGTGTTATTCAAATTATTATACACATTTATACATGTGTACATGTGTGATTATGATTATGCTTTATGATTATGCATTGTCAAGCTCCATGGTTCATATCTGTTTATGAACTACATGAAATAAATTTCAGCTATGTGATTTGCATATAAATTCATCCCCCTATACAAGGCTTATAAACTTTCCACGATGAAAGTGCTCAAATATAAGATTTTTTTGCAGATTTAGGCGAACAAAACACACAATTTATACAATGGACTCAACACATTATGCAGTGGTGCGAGCATTTTTGGAGTTTAAACAAGAAGATAGACTACTTGAGATACTTGAAAATAGGGTAGGCCTTTTAATCCTGCATATTAGTTTTGATAAATTGATAATATTGGCTTTTCATTATGGAGTAGATTTTAAACATATTCACATGCTTGTTTTAAACAATTCAGCAGTCTTAAAACAAATGTTCCACATGTAAACACATTGTGGTGTGTGATAATCAATCTTGCAATAATAAATAGCCAACATAAACTATAATTAATTAGCAAGGTTGATGTGATATCAGGGACATAATGTTGTTTTGCTACAAGAGGTTTGCTCTATTTTTCAGCTACTCTATGGCATATTCCCCGACTACTATAGTATGAACATGCTTTTAGATCGTTACATTGAAGATAAAAACTACAGAGGTATGTGGGAGTAGATTATTAGTGTTAGGTTGGTTGTGATTTATTTAATTTCCAAGCAGGAAAATAAATTTTGTACATGATTGTTACCAAAGAAAGTAATGTAGAATATGTAGGATAAGTAAAGTTTTAATACATTTTAGATGCTGCTAGAGTGGCATCACTGATGATGCTACAGGAGGACTTTGAGCATCCTTTGTTCAGCCGCTTGGCATTGTATGCTTGTCATATGGACAGTGGCAATCCTAAAGATGAGCCAGTTGTAGAAGCAATCGATGAACAAGAGGATGAAGATGATGATGATGACGTGGTAAGACTTTTATCTAAATTATCAGTGCTCTTTTTATGCTTTGTTATGTTTATTTGTACTAATCAACCTGTAAAAACTTAATATCATGTATAATATGAAACATTTTAATATTAATAGTCTAGTTCTAGTGCCTATATAATAAGAGTCTCCTAATTCTACTTTTCAGATAATCAAGAGGGTCGGTTGGATTAAGAATCCATACTTTGATGATCATTTTGACCTGAAAGATCACCAACTAAAACTCGGCAAAACTCTGATGATGTTAGGCAGACTATATTTTAATGATAGTATTGTCGGCCACAGCTACGAGTTGATTGGATGGGGATTGTATAAGAAATGGGACCAAGGGCTGGAACTTTTGGAACAATTGCTAAATTCTGAGGAAAAACCAGCCATCTTTCAAGAAGCGGTGCGTGCATACAACACTACAGATCATGTGTTGTTCCTATCTTGTGGTATTCTGCTCATAATATAATTTAAAAAATCCAAATGTATTGAGATCTGCTGGGTTTTAAAGACCTGAGTTTGAATTGTTAACATTTAAAAAAAAGACATGCAAAAGTAAAAGGGGAACCCAGGGGTTTATTCAAGTATTCCAATTACAGCTGGAAAGGTTTCAAGCAGCACTCGATTGTATTGAAGAAGATGATAAAGGTACAAAGATTGACATTGTTGAAAGGTTCACTGTAAGTATACAAACTATAAAATGCCAGATACGAAGTGTAATTGTTGTTGCGATTTTTCACTTGCATACGTAGCAAATAAAAATGTTCAAATATAGCATATCTAAACATTTAAAAAAAGTGTGCATCTATAACATGAAAAGATTTCACACGAGATTGCATTCATTGTATAATAAAGGTGAACAATTCAGTGTTTATTTTTTTATAAAAATAAAAAAATTGTGTGAACGGGATGTTTTTTTTAAACTTGTCATGTGAATGTAAAGGCTAAAAATACACATCTTTTTGTATCTTGTGCTACCAGGAGGCATCCAAAAAATTGTCAGGTGCTGGAAAAGTTTCAGATGAAGATCTCAATGCCTGTGTGGAGAAGCTCGTTGAGAAGGATACACTCCATAAGCTGGAACCAGCAGATATTGCAGCACAACAGGAGCTTTTCATTCAGTAAGCATTGGAACACTGCTCAATACATTGCATTACAGTTGGTAAACTGGCTAATATCCAAATAAAAAGCATTATTTTCGTTTCCTAATGTTCAGGTGCCATAAGAGAATAATAATTAATAAATAATAATAACAAATAATAAGAGAATACAAGGGTACCCACATTTAATTTCCCATAGGTGGGAGGAGGCAAGAAAGGCCAAGTTGGAGCAGCAGATCGAAGAGTACATGAAGCAGGAACGAATTCGCGTGATACGCAGTAAGAAAGAGTACATCACGAAGCGCGAGGAACTGTTCTCGTTCTTCGACAGCGAAGACCGAATTAAGATTGTGCTCGACGAAGAGAGACAGCGCGTCGAGCGCAAGCTGAGGCATCGGTTTCAGAAGAAGAGGCCCGAAGCCGATGAGTTTGACCTTGCAGATAGGTTGGGGAAAGTGTAATGTCATTCACATTTTACTTGTTTTAATGCAAGGTTACCAGAGGTCACATACAATAGTAGAACGGACATGTATGTTTACTAAGTTCGAGTTGTTAGTTACCTAATGATGTAATCATTAGGGATATATTAGGTAGGATTCAGCTTCAGTCATATTAACATTTTTGTATATTCTGTTGTAATAATATAGGTTATTACTTTGTATCTTAGGAAAGTCTAGTCCTCAGGACAGATCACTGTAAATACAATCATTGAATGTGTCCAGAAGCAAAGCACATTTTTTATTATATTTACTTTTCTTCAAACAATACTTGTCACCAAAAACTGAATGATGCAATCCAAGGCTACTCTGGTTAAACTTGCATAAGCATATAATACCACAGCTATAACATTACCCATACTTTGCCCCTAATATATTAATTCAACAATTTGACCCATTCATGAATTTTCGATACATAATTGTCATTTTGCAGTGTGTTGAGGATGTGATTTTTTAGGCACAATTCGAAATGGCTAAAGTTCTTCCCACTACCAGAGCGACTGACAGCAATGCAGCAAGCCAATAGACTTGTCCAGGTCGTGGTCCCACCTGCAAAACAATAGAGAGAAATTTACATCGGGCAGTGCATACATGATTGACACATTGCTAGAGAACTGCATTTATTGGTACCTGGGTTTTGGTGAACAGCCCTCTGGGCGTACTGTAGAGCAGCTTTATAGTTCCCAGCAGCCAAGCCACACAAGCTGGCCAGTAGCTGTGACATCTGAAAACACAACGAGCATGTGTACATCATCACACCCAAATTATGTACGAGGTGATATAGTGAACTTAACGTAGCAGCTGGAAGAAATCGTAACCAATCAAATTCTTGACCAGACCCTGCAAATAACATGCGTTCACTTTCATGTTGTAGCTGCAAGCCAGTCACGTGGCTAAGGCACGTGCGTGAGCAGGAATAGAGCATGTGCTGCCTCACACAACTGTGTATAAAGTTAAAAAAATTTACAAACCCTACATGCTTTCACAACGACATAACTGCACGCCAGATTCACTACGAACTATTAAAACGAACCACAATGCCTACAAACTGACCACAGATGACAATCCTACCTGTGATGTCCCGTCAGATAGGTGGAGTGCCTTCTGTGCGCACAGGAAGCTGCGCTCTGAGGCGGCAGAGCACTTTAGCAGGGCTTCACCCAGGAGAAACCAAAGGGATTCCAAGTGTGGGTGAGCATGTACGTGCTTACTAGCCTCACGTACTGCCATTTCCGGCCTGCCCTGAAACAAGAAGCGTGTCGCTTGCACAATACTGAATGCCGGGATAAATATTGGTTGCCATATTGGAATTTTAAAAATGAATAGTAATGAGAAACTTTCGGGTAAAATAATTTTAGGTTCTACACTGGTTACTTAGGTTCAAATTCTGCTCGCCACTGTCACTCCTACACGTTTTGAATGCTTGTCATGCAGCAGCACATACCAGGAGTGTGCCTAGACTGGCCAGCAGTGTTGTAATATCAGCGACATGGGAAACGTCCTGCCTGTGTTTGTGCAGCTCGTGTAAGGCAGCCTGAGCCAGTGTATCATCCCGCTGCAGACAACCGAGTGCACAGAGGGCTAGTAGGCCCATCGTAGACACTGGCTGACAGAGGGAGCTGAAGCAACATAGATCCCCATTGTTTATTTAAATGATTTCCCCTTTAAGAGAGTTCAGAATGAAAATGAGTCCTACTGTGAGCTAAGCGAAACAAAAGAACCGTGGCATATCTGGAATTTCAGATGTATTCTCTAACATTAAAAAAAAATATGAGCTTGCCTTTTGAAAAGAACGGACTTTGCTCCAGCAATGTCATTAAATTTGTAGGCTACCAATGCCATGGCAACCAGAACGTGTGACTTGTCATCTTCTGGGCAGATCTGTAATCCTTTTTCATAAGCTGTATAAAAAATCACAATGAAAATGAATCGTAGAATTTTAATATGAAATATAATAAACCAAGCTTGAATTGGTATTCAGTCAGCAGTTATGGAAATTTAAATGGCAAGTAAGTATACGCTTTGTGTTTAATGGTCACACCTTGATAACTCTCCTTCATCATGCTCGCCTGGTATAGAGCAAGTCCCATGCCACAGATGCTTTCGAAGTCTGCTTGCCCCGTCACAGTCTGATAGAGCTGCACTGCATCTACATATCGCCCCAGTTTGCTACAAACAACAACAAAAAAGCATTTCATCTCATATGAATTGCACATTTCATCAGCCTCTATTAGTGCCATCTGATATCATAATGAAACCCACCATAGTATTCGGGCGAGGTTGAGTCGTACTTTGGCCTGGTGCTCACTGCTCTCCTCTAACAATTGTGCGGCCCTACTGAATGCCCTGCTGGCTTCCGTGTACAATCCAAGGTGTTCCAGCAGCAGGCCATACATGATATATGCTAACGAGTTGCCTCGGTTTCGATCTGGATAAATGCAACCATTGGGGATTAAGAAACACCAACTGCATCAAAATAAAATTTGTTGCCACCCTGCTGTATATACATTCTCTATGAACGAGCATCGGGAAGATTTTCGAGTAAACGACCGACTATACATTTAAGAGTATCAAATCAGTTTACACAAGATGAGGTGCCAGAATAACCTTAAAAACTTTCATGAAAACCTACCAGTGTACTTTGCCATGGCATCACAAGCACCAAGAATACCTGGTAGCTGTTTATTTGAATAGTGAAAGGATTCGGCTTTCTTCGAGGACATGCCCTGCAGCATTTTGCAAACCCAGTTTGCATAGCCTATGGCGCCTTCCATCTGCAAGGACGAGAAACTAGACTAATGTTTCAGCAACACAAAAATCGTTCACAGGCATATAATTAGCTAAGATTAATATTAGCAGTTCATCTACCTCACTGCAGATCAACACACTAAGGAATAATTTAGCTCAGACGCGACGCAGATCATGTCTATAGTAAGTAATAGTGACCTACATTCATGCAGAGTTCGGTAGTGTGGCGAAACAGGTCCATGGCTTCTTCATTACCCACACACTCTGCAATCATGGCTTGTCCAACCCAGCAATACACATAGGACGGATCTAGTGCTTGAGCCACCTATTGCATTTCCAGAGGATAAGCTGATTGCAAAGCTCATTCATACATATAGAAAGCTTAAAAATATTATAGAATGAGTCTTAGTTTTTACTGACATATTACTGAACCATTTTCACTAAATGTTGTCTCGAGTTAATAAGTGTAATAACCTTGAATGCTTCGTGTGCTAGTTCACAGTTCTCGTGTATGAGATAGAGGGCGCCGAGGTTTGTCCATGCAATAACATTGTTTTTCTCGGCATCGATTGATTTTATGAAAGCATGCTGTGCCAAACGTGGATTCGATATCTCTGCAAATATAGAATGGATACAAAATTGGTTAAACTATATTAATTTATTTACAACTTGCAGAAAAGAATGATTGATTGGCTTAGCATTTTAGTGTAAGAACTGTACAATAACTGGAAACCATATTTTTATAAATGATTGCATTCCGTAGTTTCTCCCAATACCTTGACATGCTGCAATAACACCGAGAGCAGACCAGAGCCTATAGTCCTGTGGTGATATTGTTACTGCTTTTTTTAGTGACTGCAATGCCTTACAGCCCAGTTCCGTCTTCTGGGTACTATCCATCGTACATGCCATCCTATAATAATAGCTGGTGCCCAGATCCTGCCATAGGCTGCAGCAATCAGGGAGCAATCTCAGTGCCCTGCCGTAGCACCTGCACATACGAATATAATACAATTATACAATTACAGTATACATCTTTCACTGAAATTAGTCTTCAACCCTTTCACGACTAAGCGAAATTTGCGACCACATGCAATGTGCCTAAATACGAAATACCACAGTGGAACACTTACTTCGAGGCAAGCGACAAGATGTCGGCTTTTCCCACAGAGAGTGTCTGGCCCAACTTGCTGTCACCGGCGCGCAGCAGCTGAGCTGGCACGACAACATCGACGACATCTGCTGGTAACTGTCGCATAAGCATGCAGGCATCCGCCATCAGTTTCCACAGACAACTGAAGCCCGGCTTCAGGTTGACAGCCATGGTGAGCACGTCAATGATGTCCTGACACACACGCAGTACCCTGCCATGAAAGTACTGCTGCAGCCACGCTCGCGCCTGCAGGAGACTGGCTTCAGCAAAGCCCCTCATCGCAGGGACGTAGTCTGGAAACTGCTGCAGAAGGAGCTTGTACTCCGATATGGCATCCGCGTAGAGGCCAACAATCTGCTTGATAGACGCCACCTGGTGTTGGGATTGAAAGAAGCAGAGTTTCACCAGCAGACAAGACAAGCGAATGAATAACCTTTTATTGTTTGGTTTAGTCCATATCATTCATGCAGAATAATAATATGAGATGTGGCTTTTTATCATCAATAATTCCTTATATTTAATCGATTATCAGCACAGCGGCTAATATTTACAAGTTGTAACAAGTTGTTGTGATTGATATTTTGAGTGCAAAATTACTGACAAATTTTATATAACATGTAGAGTACAAGAATGCCAATGATGTCACGGAAAATAAACACAATAATAATACTCAAACACATTTCTTTGTACTTGCTTACCTGATACATACAATAGACAGAGTCAGGACTTAACTCTAGCGCTCTACTATAAGCTTTCATAGCCGCAGTGTGACTGCCTCTCGATGTATAAGCATCTCCCAGGCACTCCCAGCAATGACTGTGAAAAGAAAAAAACAACTAAATTAAATTTAAACAACAAAGAGACACCCATATTAGTTATTGCACACCTCTGTACAATATGATGACAATAACAAGTATATTAGAAGTACACTGGTACGGATAAATGTGATACATACAAGTCAGTGGGATTTGTACGCAGTGCAGCCTGGAAGGATGTGACGGCTGCAGTACTGTTTCCAGTGTCTAGGTAAGCCAGACCTAGTCTTAGCCATGCCCACTTGCAGTTGACTGGAGACAAATTACCAGTGACTGCCTTCAATAAGTTCAAATTGGCTTCCTGAAAACCAAACTGACTTGATAATGAGATCATATAGTGATATACACGTTTCTCTAATTTTAACACAGTGGTGTAAAAAATATATGCTCATATAATATAGTAAGCTAACAAAACATTCTTACATGTTCTCCACTACGCCTGTAGGTATCACTCAGAGCAATGGCAGCATCTTCACTCTGCTTATTCAGGTCATAAGCTTTCTGATAACAGCGTCTTGCTTTATTCAAGTCTTTTACCACTTCAGCATAAAAATGTCCCAGGTAGAGAAAATTGCCATAAAAGTATGGATCAAGTTTGGCTGCCTATATAAACACATAAAGAAAATAGATTCTGGGCAATAATTTAATAAAATACAAATATAAATATGATGAATAAACATGCACAGCACAAAAACACATCTGGATTAATTAACACCTCTAATATCTATTTTAGTTGAAACTCGACGTTGCAATCAATACCTTAAGAAACAGTGCAAAACTCTTCTCACTTCTCTCTTCTCTTCTTTTCCAATGTATAATACCCATTTGATGATTATACCAAGCACAGTTATCATCTTCTTCCAGGGCTTGCTGTACACTATATATACAAATGAAGAATATTAAACCTAGAGCAGCCCAATAACACAGATACTGACTGTTAATTCTATAGTCACTACAAACTGATCTCCTGGAACTCATGAAAATGAACGTCTTCCTAGATGTTGTAACCTTAAATATGATGGCTTCTAATACAATCAAAAGACAGGGAGAGCATTCTATAAGTATATCAAAGTAATATTAGGTGCCATGTATGGCATATTGAAATACATAAACGTACTGTACTATGCCCTCATTAAATATCTTGTTAAATCACCTGTACCTTTGTTCGGCTTCTTCTAACTGTTCTTTTTGTAAATGCACCCAGCCAATGAGAGCCAGAGCAGGAGCTGGTAAGCCAGGCATGCACTCCGTTCCAAGTTCCATGGCTTGCTCAACCTTACCCTGCTGTAGTAGCACATAACCTAACTTAATCTTGATATTGGCATTGGCTCCATCCATCTTTATGCACTGAATGGGAAAAAAACTCGCATAAATAGATGCAATTAACTAAAATCTCATTACCGATTGGTGGAACACTGATGAGTGTCAACTGTGTATACTGGCCACAATTGCTGGATCTCATACCTCTGTATAAATTTCCTCAGCTTTACTCAGCTGCACTCCTCGTTGCAAAGCAAGTGACTCGGCCAGTACCAACCTAAGGGCTTGTAGCAGTTTTTTGCACTCACGGGTCTGCACTTCTTGAACAAGCTGTATTCCTGTGTAATAATTCTGACATGTCACTTCCTGCAATAATTTATTCAAAACTGTACGGATTATCTGCTTCTTTATTAAAGATTTTCTTTATTCTATCCTTAGATTTTCTAGATATTTTAGATTTTCTAGATTTTTTAGATCCTTCTATCCTTAGATTTTCTTATTAAAGATTTTCTTTATTCTATCCTTCTTTATCTGCTCTTGATTTTAAATATCATACCAAATCTGCATGATTAACTGATACAATGATTGCTTACATAACTCATATGCACCCTACACAATCACGAATTTAAACATGTTTGTGGGCTATTTAAATAAGTTATTTTATAATTTCTTACTTGCCTTTTGCAGCAGCTTGTTGTGCTTCTTCTACACGGTAGAGCTTGCGGTTTACTTTACTCAAGTATAGCCAACCCTCTATACATTCTGCAGAGCGTCCAATACCTGCAAACACCCTGAATACTTTTACCAGTTGACAGTGAAAACAGTGTATGGGTAATAACGAAATAATAGCAACTACATATATTTAAAAGCATATATGTTTTACATCTCTTTGTACTGAAGTTGTGTATTTCCTTCATGATACATGTAAACTAATAATTTTTTTAACTTATTGAATCACATTTGTATAACATGAACTATTTTCCATTTTAATACCTATTTGTAAAAGTTCAAGTGCATTCAAATAGTCCTGTCTTTTCATTTTGATAACACCATTAATGATGGCACTCAGTCCAGATGGCGGCTGTAGTATATCCAATCTTGCTGCTACTGATTCTGCTTCCTCAATCGCAATAGTCTCTTCTGTTAAAATCAATTACTGTTATATTATTCTTTATAATGTCGATCGATAGCTGCATTACCTGCTTTTCAATAAAGCACATATTCTGAGGTACATAACATTAAACTTTGATATTTGATTTATTATTTCCAAGTAAACATTTTAAAAAGGCAGCAGATAATATGCAGCCTATATTTTTCTGCATACCTACAGATTTCTTTAAAATGACCCGGCAAAGGATTTTCAAAGGAGTCTGTGCATCTGGATACATATTCAACATATTCTTGCACTCTTTCATCACAATGGCAGTCTCGCTATCACTCTGTAAAGTGAGTACAAATGCATTATTCCATATAAACAATCTACACTTTTTATCTGCACTCATTTAGAAGCACACGAACACAGGTGTAAACAGGTTTGACTCAATTTTGTTTTAACTAGTAACACCATTTGGATGCTCCAGATATTACACCCTGTGATATTTGAAATTTGGCATTTAGCTATGGTAAACACTGTAGAAATAATATGTTAAGTCTTTATAGACACATCATATATGACATAAGTTTACATATTTTGCAGGTTGTTTACAATGTACTGTAAGATTTTTCAAAAAAGTGCATCAGGTGACCTTTATACTAAAATATGTAACACATAAAAGTCAAGCATGAGAGCATCAAAAGGGGTTTGAGCTGCTAACCTACACACATGCACAAAGCTTAACTGGTCACAGCTACATGTGTCCACTTGTGTAAATCAATTTCTATCACGTCATTTATTATGTTTGATAAGGATACACGTGCACACCACCTTCTGCGGTTTCAATGTTATTTAGATGATAAAATAATATATCAATATGCTTTTTACACTGTGTCCGAAAAACTTACATTGGCAATGAGCTGTAAGAAACTTTCATTTATCTGTTTGTGGTCATCACTTGGTGCAGCCAAACTTTTGAGTAGGTATTCAAGTAAATGACACAACTAGAGGAAATATAAAACACCTAGATGAGTAAAATGTCATGATTTGAATAAATTACAAATAGCAGTTGAGATGATCAATGCCAACTCCAAGAGTATGGCAATAGAGTCTACTATCTTACTCATGTAACATCCATAATTTCCATAACATCATATCTCAACTCTTAATCTGAACTCATTCTCAAACTCTCAACAAACCAATATCACTTACAAATTCAGAATGGCCCACAGAAAGTGATTTCTGTTGTACTAGATATTGGGCAAGTTTCTTTGTCACTCCAGATACTCTGTCCTCCATATTGCTTGGAGTTGTTAATTTCATACATTCCCATGTTTTTATAGCCTGAATAAAAAAAACATACATTGAACATGTTCAATATAGCCCACAAAATGCAAAACTTTGGAATGCTACATTGCATTAAGATAACTGGAAATTGATTGATTTGAGATTTAATTAAATTATATACAGCAAAGAATTTACAGTATGGTTTACCTCATTAATGTTTCCAAGCTCTATGTGTAAGAGGGTTAATTTGTCTTCAATAGCAGCCATCTTACTGTTATCAGTTTCATTGTACATCTGCTTCAATTTCCCATACACATCCACTAGTTTTGTCAGGTAAGTGTCACCACCTTTCTCATAAAATCCACACAGGCCCTATAAAAATGTGTTTTGGATTATTACTAAAATGCTAATTAATAATAGCTATATCTTCGACCTACAAAATAGGGTACAGATTTATAACGGGGAGCATAGAGGATATAGTACTAGAAATCTGACAGAGAAAGCTTGAAAATTTTAAATTTGACCGCAATATTGTCCTAATTTTAACAATTGACCTCATAAATTCACAGCGTAACTCCATAAGCAGATAAGTGTGCATGCTACGACGAAAATAAGCAATGATTTACTAAATCCATCCCTCTTTAATCATATAAATGGCTTTAAAATTAGTTCCACCCAAGGTGATCACACCTAGCTAGAAAAGACTGCAACTGCTACATGTAATATACCTGCCATGCAAGGATCTGTTCAGGTGCATTGTCGATAGCTCGCCGATAAGCAGCTTCAGCTTGCTCTGGCTGGTCAAGCTCTGCAGCTGCTACACCGATAAACACCCACGCATTGTAGTTATTCTTATCTGCTTTGATGACTAGCTGGAATGGAAATATTCCGATTATGGACCAACTACATTCATTGAGATACAGTAACATTGTTGGTTTTAATGAGATGGCCTGGTAAGACGTCTAATCTGGTATTGACATATATACCAGCAAATATGTGTAAGGCTGGTCAGAAATCATATAATACATGATGCTTTTATGAATTGGGATGTGCATATGGTACCGGTACTCAGATAAATCATATCTGCACAACCTAGAGACATTTGTACAAGACGTGATCACTATATTATTTTGTATTCCTGTGGTTCTCTTATCCATCATATATTATACTATTTAAATAATTTATTGATATATTTATATTAATTTATTTTATTTTTTATTTATTTCTCTCCTGCCTCTCTCTCTCTCTCTCTCTCTCTCTCTCTCTCTCTCTCTCTCGCCCTCTCTCTCTATATATATATATACAGTGTTCGAAATAAGGGATATCCGTTTGTCCTCACTTGTCCATTTCCATGGAGGACAAGTAGACTTGTCCAGTAGCTTGTCCGCTGGACAAGCAGAGTTTTAGAGCAACATTTTAGAGCAATTTTTCATCATTTTCTACCATAGCTGGTCAGGGTGACTGTATGACTGTCAATGTACTGATTTCACTACATTTTGTCGTACGAGTTCGATGTGAATAAAAATACAAATGTATACAAACATGACTTCTTTTGTTCACTGGTCCTTATTCTATCTTCCGGTAGTATTACAAACTGCGTAGCTTACTTCGTTTTGACATAATTCGTACTTTTGCACGACATGGTTTTCACGTTAGTTACCGTCGTGTGGCGATGCAAAGCCCGAAATTCGCACACACAGCTAGTTGAAGGAGGCGCGCCAGGGCTTTTCGGCCATAGCCTAGTCGAGTGCAGAAAATTCGCCTAGAAATTAAGTTACGTTGCACCAATGCTGGGTTTAAAAATTAAAACTATTTTACATTTAAACTATAGTTAGAATGCCTTGTTTTTATGGTTGAATCCCGCAGTTTTTTTTAAATAAACGTTGCGCTGGTAAAATATCTGAACTACTTCACCCGCGGAAGAATGATGTGCATGAATCGTTATGAGTAAACCGACGCTCCAGCCGATTGTAGCTTTTCGCACATGTGTTTTGCATTAATTGCATAGCAACCGTTAGCTCTAGCCCGCGTACAGTTGCCGCTGGCGCTGCCTGAGGCGATCCCTGCCGTGCCTCCTTCAAGTAGCTGTGTGTGCGAATTTCGGGCTTTGCATCGCCACACGACGGTAACTAACGTGAAAACCATGTCGTGCAAAAGTACGAATTATGTCAAAACGAAGTAAGCTACGCGGTTTGTAATACTACCGGAAGATAGAATAAGGACCAGTGAACAAAAGAAGTCATGTTTGTATACATTTGTATTTTTATTCACATCTAACTCGTACGACAAAATGTAGTGAAATCAGTACCAAATCGCTGTCTTACTCCTTTGTCATTATACGCTCCTGGTATTATGTATTGTTATTATAAAACTTTGAAGCTTCAACTTTGTTAAGACAAGTAATCACTTAAAATAAATAATTGTCCTTCTTTAATCTTTTATGTTCTTTCAAGTTTGGTGCCTATTTTTAACTGTTAGTGAACTGTATTAAAATTACAAAGTAAGACATTGGGTCTAAAATTTAATTTGATTTTAACAATGTATTGCACACTTACTATATTTCTATGTTATTAATCAGGACAAGCAAAAATTTTGCAGGACAAGCAAAAATATCTTGTAGCTTGTCCGTCGGACAAGCAACATTTTTTCCTTATTTCGAACACTGATATATACATATATATTATATATTATATATATATAATCAGGGTTCTCCAAGCTTTTGAATTATAGCATGGTGGTGCTACTCACTGCTAGGGGGTTCCGGGGGCACGGCCACACGCAAAAATTTTGAATTGTAGAATCTCTGAGATGCAATCTGGGACACTCTGTGTGTAAATTTGAAGCACTGCATGTGAGATAAAAATGTTTGTTTTGCATGGGCAAAGCTATCAGAAAATTCAAAATAATTATTTCTTGATGAGCTAGAAAACACTCGGATTTGAACTATGATGAAAGTGTCAATGACACTGTAGCTCACCACAAAAAAGGACACAGATGAGTGAGTGAGAAGAAGTCAGTTTTAATTGAGCAACCATCGACGTACATTATAGAAACAAAGAGTATATATGGGAGAACTCCATGTGAAAATAATAAATAATATATATATGAATTATAAATAATTTATAAACCAAAATGAATCACAATTTGACAGTAGATGGCGCTATACCCGCTTTGATGTTTCTTAGCATAAATCATTATATCATAATAATAATAATATCATAATAATAGTATTAAATCATAATATGTTCATAGCAGGAATTTTGCATTAAAGATATTGTCAATGAAATCTTGTAAAACGAACCAGACGAGTGTGACACCACAAACTGTTTGTTATCTGCGTGTCTATATAATATGCTATATAATAGCTAAACCCTACCTAATTTGCACAATTTTTTTTTTAAATATCAAAACCCCTAGCCCTTATTCATTCACATACCAAAAATGAGCAAAATCTGTTGAACCTGAACCGACTTATGGCAATTCCCATTTTTGGCAAAAAATTGCCGTGGCTCGAAAGTGCATCGACTGGCGTGCTCCAAAATAGGACGTTTAATATGGGAGCATAGCAGTAACAACCATACCCAATTTCAAACATGTGGGTCAAACAGTTCCTGAGTTATCATTGACCGTAGCCAAATGTTGACGGACAGACGGACGAACAGACGGACGTACGACGACCCATGGCAATAGCTCAGCTTGACGATGTCAAGGTGAGCTAACCGGACGGACGTATGACGGACGACGACCCATGGCAATAGCTCAGCTTGACGATGTCAAGGTGAGCTAAAAATAAACATTATTGTGCCAGCTAGCCTGCACCAGTTGGTTGGGATTGATTGTCAGTTCAGATGCAAAATATTGAAAGCAAAAGGTTATACACCATAGATTAATTTTGGTACTATAACACGCGTACATATAAAATAGCCGAGTCGGTTTACAGTTAGTGTTAGGGTTAGGGATAGGGATAGGGTGACTGTTTGTACTTGTGTGTGGGATTTAATTGTTGTATTATTAACTTCTTATGTATACAGCAGCATGGCGGCTATGATATTTAGCGTGGCGGGTGCATTTTAGGATGGCGGGGCTCGACAATAGCCTGGCGGGCCGCCAGGCTATAAGTGCCCTTAGAGAACCCTGAAAAAATATATATATATTAGTGATGGGAATCGGCTGGAATTTCATAATCGATTGTCGGTTTCCCTTAACCGATCGATAATCGATTATAATCGGATAATCGGTTAATAATAGCATAGATTTAATTTAATCTTACTTTGCAGGGCCCTAGCTAAGATTTTTGTTCCTGTAGCCAAACAATTAGCCAGAATCAATTTCCATTAGCCAATTTGGATTCCTGTTAGCCACATCTGTAGCCTAACATTTTCTGAACACAAAAAGGCGATAAATAATTTTTCTTTTCTTTATTTTTCACAAAACTTTTTATATGCTGCAAGTACAAGACTACACTTATTTAATTGCCACACAAACTATTATTCCCCACCTGTCTATCACTGAGACACTAACACTATGATTCACCACCATGACTCTGACTGACTGACAGGAGACATTCAAAATTGTCTGAATTTTTTTCTTCCACTGCTGGCAGGAAAATTCTCTTATCTTTTTTGGCACACCACTGGACATAAGACTTTTTAAAGTCAAACATCTCTTCTTCTGGGCTTCAATTTGATGCGTTAGAATGTCACAAACAGCTCTGTTTTCAGGTTATATTCTTCAGAGCTGTTTTAACCAAATTATGTCTGCTAAAACCCTCTCCACATCAACTGGTGTGGATGAATAGGTGGTCACAAACAGCTACTTTTTACAGTACTGACGCACGCACGCGCACGCACGTACGCACGCACGCACGCCGCAGCTACAGTATAGACAGTACTATACACACACTATAGTTATTTACAGCAATACTAATAGTTTACAGAAGAGTTTTCACAGCACATGCATATACTCTACTTACTTTTGTAACTTCGGATGCTATTGAACCCAAAATAGCTGCTCATAAAAGTGACTATATTCCCAGTTAGTACTTATCAGGTTTTACTATTTTTTACAGTACCTCACACACAGTACACACACAAACACACACATACACGCAACGCACACGCACGCACCGCACGCCACACACACGTGCACGCACACGAGTAGTAAAAATCGTTTGACTTTTGCCAGCGTCGTTGCCGTGCCGTGCCATGCCGTGTGGAGACAGGCCCTTTTTTAAACACCAGAGATACATGCGTCTAAACAGAGGAATTGCTCCGACCTGTGATTGGAGGATAAAAATAGACCCCGCCCACTTTTCCATTTTTGGAGGATAAAATAGAATTCGTGACGTTTCGTTTTCACTGGTCATAGCCGCGCGTGCTATTTTGCTAATTAATTAGACTAATCGCGCTTCAATTTAGACTCAAAATTCCCACAGAGATTAAGGCTAGGACATGTGTCTATAATAGCTAGAATTTATAGAAATGTAACTCAAATCGTTTCGCTCCATATGATAGTTAGTACACGGTCCTACCCGTCATAGCATAGCGTATGCGGCGATGAGTGGGCGCGGTCTTTTTTATCCTCCAATCACTGGTCGGAGCAATTCCTCGTGTTAGACGCATGTGGTTTTTCTGAGGGAAAATTTGACAACGGTGGTAATGCCAGTTTGTGGGGAAAACGCACATGATGGATTCAAAGGCGTGCAGTAGGCACGAATGTGGATTCTGCAGGCAGGACCGCGGGTGAGAGAGGTAGAGGAGGTCTGGGGGTCTCCCCCAGCAAAATTTTAAAACATTTGAATGTCTTAGACTGCATTTGATGCACCCCCGAAAATAAAATCTCACCCTTTAGTTTAAATCTTACTCTGTTTAGCAGACCTACTAAGTCTCACGCTGCTCATTTCCGCGGGAGACTCACGCATCTGGACCCATTCTCCCGCCGCTCCCGCATGCCCTACGCATTCTCACGCATGCACGCCCAAAAAAAAAAATGAAAAAAGCAGCGCCCGCGACACCCCTGGTTACCCACCGTCAGTGGCTGTGCACATCGTGCACGTGCTTGCTGGCTGGGCGCATTGATTGAAGTACGGGGGGGGGGATGCACTGATTGTTACAGTTCGCTGTGTGTGGTTATGCTGTATATGTAGGGGTGGGCACCGCGCTGGTATGAATGAGCGACAGCCAACTTTCCGGAATTGAGGAAAAAGCTGCCAATCGGAATGGACAACAGGAGACGTGTGCCGGCATGCAAAAAGAAACGCTGCCTGTTTCGACGATCAAATAGGATCGATGTTGCTATGCTGGTCATGTTTATTACGGAGAAAATTACCTTCGTCACTTTTTTCGCCCAAATAAGACTTCAATCGCCAGATTACTAATTTGTTCGCCATTGGCGAATTGGCGAGTGGGGTAGCGAGGGCCCTGCTTTGTATATACAATTATACATAGCATTCAATATTATCATGTTTTATGATCATGTATTAACTCTGTGAAGGTTGCTGTTATGTATATCAATGTCTGCTTCCTATACAGTATTTAATCAATTTAAAAAGAAATGTTTAAATGCCTTTTATTAAAACATTAAAAGTTTTTAAACAACATGCATCAAGACTTGTTTTTATTATAGTAAGTAAGTTGTTTGTGGTTTCTAATAGTGGAGGCTGTGTAGCGCCGAGTTAATGTCATGCCAATGGAATATCTTTCTCCACATAATGTAACAAACAATACGGAGAGTAAGAATCTCATCACGGATAACATCTGTGGGACAGTGTCAAACCAAAACAAAGACACTGTCCAATTTGTCCATGTCTATAAGTACACTAGTACCGCTCTGCAATCACACTCATAGGTGTCCTCTGGACTACACACTGATGCACTTCTACTTCGTACCAATACATGTCCATGTTGCGATTTGGTAATTTATTTTTTTATTTTTTGTATTTCTGATAATCGATTATTTGTTTTCATAATCGATTATCGAATTTGAGACTATTAATCGATCGATTTTTCACTTATAATCGATCATCGGGACATCACTAATATATATAATATTATATATATATAATACATACAGGGCTATACCTCTGGCATTCGCCACATTCGCCACCTTCGCCACCTTTACCAATCACGTCTACCACTGTATATATAATTACGGTATAACATACTGTTACTGTTAGCACATTATATAATATAGTTAGTATTATTATTAGTAGCAGTAATGGTTAATTACAATTAAATTAGTATTAGCTGTAACGCCGGTAAGACTGTACGTAACAATGTGATTGTCATTATAGCCGCTTCGCTCTGGCGGTTACACAGAAGTGTTTCCTATTATATCGAGAGTATATAGCTACATTAGGAGTGTTCCCAACTTTGATATCATTAATGATTAATGATTGACAATCCTAACCCTAACCCTAACCTAAATGACATTAAACCACAAACTAATATATGACCATATATATATATATATGTGTTATTATGACCATTAATGACATTAAAGGCCAAGACACACTGCAGCGACAACGACCGATCGTAACGACAAACGACTTTTCAGAAAATTAGATATTGCTTCCTATGTATTTACTATTGCTTCCTATGTAATGAGCCATTGCACACTGATGCGACGACGACCACCTCGACAACAAAAATATTTAGAAAAGTTTCTATTTTCCAGCGACTTTCGCCGGCGACACTTTACAAATGGCCAATCACAGCCGTTTCCATCGGCACGTGACATGGCCATTACGTCATAAATTTATAAACCAATGCTAGCCAGGAAGTAGACTGGTTCCCAGCGCTAAACTCGTACCGCCTGTCAAAAACAGTGGGGCCGCGAACCCATCTAACCAAAACGTGCAAGGCTACGGTCAGCCATCAGACGTGATTATTGTGTACGTTCGTATAATATGCTGCGTATATATTACTTTATTATATTATCGTTATACATAGAGCATTTTTACAGCAATTTATTTAAAAGCAGCAGCAGGAGTTTTTTGCCGTTTGCTCATGTGTGCCACTGGCGTGGCGCTGTGGTGAGTGCTGGGTGAACTTTGTCGTTACGGTCGGTCGTTGTCGCTGCAGTGTGGCTGCGCCAGTCGCCGCGACTGTTGTCGTTTGTCGTTACGGTCGGTCGTTGTCGCTGCAGTGTGGCTGCGCCAGTCGTCGCGACTTTGGCGTTTGTCGTTACGGTCGGTCGCTGTCACTGCAGTGTGTCTTGGCCTTAAAGTTGGGAACACTCCTAATGGAGTATCACCCTTTGAAGAGGCCACACCTGTACGCTGTAGAGCTACTACTACTCATAGTCATAGTCATAGTACTAGTACTAGTAGTAGTACTACTACTAGTACTTAATACTAGTATAGTATAGTAATTAAATTACTAATTAAAACATAACCTCCTGCCAACCCCTTGGCGGAGGTAATTAGTAATACTAATAGTAATACTACTATCACTAGTAGTACTAGTAGTAGTAGTACGTGTAATGATGTATACAAATTTATGGCAATATGATTAATTATATCTATAACTATATATATATATAATATATATCTAGATCTATATCTATTATCTACATCGATATCTACTCTATAACTATAACTATTAGTATTAGTATTACTATAACTATAACTTATAAATATAAGTTATATTTATAAGTATACTTAGTACTATAACTATAACTGTATAACTTGTACTTATAAGTTATAGTTATACTTATAGTTATATTAAATATAACTTATACTTAAGTTATAGTTATAGTTATAGTATTACTATTAGTAATAATAATAATTAATAATAATATAAGTATAATCAATCAGAAATCACCAACCACACCTTGCAATGCTTCAAAGCCTCTTTAAAGTTTTTAATGCGTATTGCCTCACGTGCATCTTTTAATGCATTCTTTATCTCTTTTGGGTCCATTATATCATATTATAACGCCAAATATGCCACTGACTAGTCACTACTATTACTAATATATTATAACGCCAAATATGCCAAATCTACCAACTTCTTTGGCATGAGGGGGCAGCCATTGGTGCGCATTGATTGGCCGAAACCATGGCGCTTCGATCGCGCAGCCACCGAAACCGGAACCGGAACCTGGCTGCCTAACAGTTTTGTCACAGATGTATCCCTACTGTATGTAAGTCTGTTGTTCTGTCTCTAACAGTAACAACTTAGTTCTCTAAGCCACGTCCATTATGTGTTTGTATCTTAGTTTGTTTTAGTTGTAGTTGTTATACTCAGTCTATGGCCGAGTGAAGTCAACAATATTTGATATATTTTGAATAAATATATATGCCACGGCACAGGCAGATTTGCGGTATCACTTGAGTCTGCATCGCCATGGCACAGCCAGTGAAACATCAACATCAAGAAACACTAGAAACATATGATGACGAAGAAACAGTGCTGTATGAGTTGCTTGAGCATACAGAATGGCAACAAGAGTGGCACGAAACGGTACGCCAGGAGCTACTACTACTACTACTACTACTAGCAACGCGTCAGTTTTGGTTATTGGCAGAATAATACAAATATCATAATTTTTCATATGTTCTGTATGCCAATTTTACGTGCAGTTGCATTCTACAAATTACTAATAGTACACTATAGTGTACGGGTTCACATTCATTGCATTTGCAGTATACTATATAAAGAACTTGCGAGTTCTTGTGTGTAACAGTTTTGATAACAAATTAGTTAAAGACGGTGACATTGTTTACTTGTGATTACAGGCACGACCACCTCGATTATCGTCTACACCTGCGTACTCCACTTCTACTCAATCTGCATGGTCATATTTAAAAAGTTTTGTGTATCCACTAAAGTACGTGTACAAGATTAGGGGATCTACTAAACCGCGAAATGATGCGAAATGCTGCAAAATGACACAAAATGACGGCCTCCTAAACCGCGAAATGACACAAAATGACGGCCTCCTAAACCGCGAAATGACGTGAAATGACTCAAAATCATCATACATAGAATAAAATAAAATGATTTTTTTATTAAATTAAAGTTAATTTGTTATTAAATTATCTTAAATTAAATGAAAATGCTAATTAATTTTAAATTAATTAATTAAATAACGCGATATGTCGCGAAATTACGTGAAATTACGCGATATGACGGCTTAAACCGCGAAATGTAATAAAGTCTGTAGCAATTTATATTCTTATAACACACACGCACACGCATACGCACAAACACACACACACACACACAC